GCAAGCAAGATATAGCTGTCTGCTCTGTAATTGCATCAATACTTTCTAAAACGTACCTGGTAGATTCCTTCAGTAGCATATATGAACTATTCAATATATGAATTGCTTTATGTATGAACTGTGCATTCCGATTTCATAGAAATCCTAATGTCAATATCTTTTGTCTTTGTAGCAGGGAACTCCTGCCATTCAAACCCTTGTGGAAATAATTCAGCTACATGTGTTTCTTTAAACACTACTTACACCTGCGAGTGCCAATATGGATACTACTATAAGGAGGACAATTGTTACAATGGTGAGTTGCAGAAGGGCATCTATGTTTTTAGTTACCAGCTCAGGTGAATTTTTCTTCCCATATCCCTTGTTTTCATGTTATAACTGAAAACATAATCAGTCTGGGAAAGCAACTGCTGAGCAATTCCTTCCTTTGCAGGCAGCCACTGCTATGATGGCCCAGCTTGTTATCTCACAAAACAGTGGCAGCCAAAGAGGTTAATTGCAGGAGTTTGCATACAAAGAGGCAGTGGCCGTTATTCTCACGTGCAAAGTCCTTTGTTGTTTATCAAAGTGATTCTTTTATATCCACCTATTAGAAGCGCCCACTTATTATTGGTTAACTACCATTACTAGTCTACCTTACACGCAATGTAATTAGTTATTAACATATCAATCATAAAATGCTTAATCATTATTCTCCACCCCTAATCATTATTCTCCACCCTTCAACTTCTGCATCCCACACCTGGGAGTTGTTTATCTCACTACCTTCTTTCTCATATTCCAACCACCGCTGTGTCCTTGGACGGCTTAGCTTGCAGCCTGGTCAGGCCCTGCTAGCAAGGCTGGATCGCTCACATGTCCATTAGCAATCAGAAATTCTCCCACAGTTAATGCTCTAGGAAAAGAAGGTGATTTCTCTGCCTAGGGTGCTGGGGATTAAAATGAGTGAAAAGTAGGAAAAGATACAAGTGTAAACCTGACATCAATATTAGTGGCCAAATTTATGCAGACCTCTGAACAACTGGATTTATTTTTCCCATTGCTGAACACTCACCACAGTCCTGTTGAAATGCATCTCTGAGACGCTGCTGGAAACCAAATGTGTGAGCAAATAGGGATTCTTATTTCAGTGCCAGCAAGCAGGATTCTCAAATTTACTTGTGAGGTTTAAGAAACAGTTTGACCCACGTCACTTTCTCAGATATGGGTGAACCACATTAGCTGCTTAGTAGCTGCAAATTCGGAGTTCTTAATATACATATCTTCTCATTAAATGCTATAACCCCTCACAGGGAGTCTTTTAGCTTCAGGCCATGCTGACAGTTTAATGTTATTCAGTTTCATAATCAGGACAGTTTGGTTGAGCCTAGGATCTTGTCTTCTTCCCAGGTAGCCAGAGTACATCCCCCATTGTGACTGTATTGATTGAGCAAACATTTGTCCCCTCCTGATCCCTCCAGTATATGAAAAATAGCACTGGTCATTTTTTGCATTGTATTTCCATATCTCTGAAGGCCAGAGAACTCTAAGGTGAAACCTGACTTCCTTGAATGCTTTCTAATTTACATTCTTTATTCTCATTCCAGGTCAAATATACCCAGGCAGCATCATAATGAGCATATCTTACCATAATAATTTTCAAACTGTAAATTCTGAAGATTATGAAAAGCTGTTCAAGAATTTATCAGTTTTTGTGAGTGACAGTGGGTTTTCTTCTGTATATTTAATGCTATACTGAATGTCAAGCAGACAGAGAGGACACACACTGCTTTCTTGAGAAATCTGCTTCTTTCAATGACTGCTTCACACTAGGTTAGACTTATTCAAAAAAGACTTGAATTTTGCCCTCAGATGAGTACATGGCTCTTGCTGAAGTGAAGGCATGTACCTGAAATAAGGAGTATCTGCTTTCTTAGTGCTGCTTCTATTCTGGGGAGTTCTCACATAAATTGCTCTGTATCTTTCACCATCTTTCACCTCTCCAGAGTCAATGGGGCTGAGTGAAGTTTTCCAGCCTGTTGAGTTTCTATCTCTGCTGTTTGCGAAAGGCTCAATAATACTTAGTGGTATGAGTGAAAATGAACAATTTATTATTATTATTTTATTTTATTTTATTTTTTTCTGAAGAAAATCATTATTTCCACACAGCACAAACTTTTCAGAATGGATGTCTAGCTGTGTCTAAATATCTGAATAAAAGGCCTCTTCCATAAGTCTACCAGTATTTTAGTAGTGTTTAGTGTTTTAGTATTTTAAAGCTATTAGTGAAATGGATAGTACATATTTTGAGCATGCTATGATTACACATAAAATATGGTAATGAATTTCCTGGAGAAATAAGATGAACAGTTTAATTTATACTGCCAGGTTAAAACAAGTGGATCTGCTTATGTCCCTTTCTGGAAGTAAGGAAGAAGAACTATGCAACTTTACCAGACATCTAAACAAAAAAAATATTCACCAGATATTAACCACAAATCATCAAAAATGGTTATCAAATTTTGCATGTTATTATATTGTTTCCTATGAATATTTTATCAGAAAGTAACCAGAAAATGCTCCTTCAGAATGCGAAAAAATATTTTGTTCAATTTTTTTGTCCAGCATTTTTTCATGACACGGCCACAGAGGAGCATGATATGCAGGACAAGAAGAGATAGGTAACAGAATGCAAAAATGAAAATAGCATAGAAAATAATTTGAATTTTTTTTTTAAAGGTAGTTTATCTTTCATTTCAGTTGAATTAGACATCCTTTTCTCATGCTGCCTCCCGCTTGTATGGCAGTTGAAGGCAGCTGCCTCCACCAAATTGTTCCCTGCTTCACATGGGATGAGGGAGAGTCGTGGCTTCTACTGACCCTGTTCTTTCTGACCCAGTGCTTTCATCAGTGCTGTGCTTCTCCCAACAAGATCAACCCCTGATGATCCCACTTCATGGCATCTTAGGGGCACATGCCATCTGTCAGGATGCCTACTTCTCCCTCTCCCCTCTGCTTGTACATAGATTGGTACCGCAAACACACCCTCCTAAGCAATGAGTCTGCAAGGGAGTATCTGTAGCTATCCAGCCAGTCAACCCTAATGCACTGCCTGACATTCATTCTGCTCTTCTCTGTCCATCCCTCCATTGCTCTCCTGCATTCCCTGTTCTCCCATATTATACAGCACTGCCTCACTGCTCCTCTTCTTCAATACCTTGCCCAGTGGATGTAACAGAACAGCTTACTTTATTTGTGCCTATAGTAGCATGTTCTGGATTAAAACTTTACAGATGAAGCCTCAGTAGTTCATGTGATTTTGGTCTATGTTTCTGCTTGCCTTTAACTCCATTTCATTTCTCTTTTATAGTTTAAGACTGCCTTCCTAGAGTCAGACGGCTATGAACAGACCATAGTCGTGAACATTCAGTAAGTTTGCCAGTTTGTTTTTTGCACAGTACATGCTTCGCACACACCCCATTTTAATGCTTTCCAGGGAGTACTCAGTTCAGTAAAAGATATGGGATGAGTTCAGTTCAGAGTGCTTCCTCTTAAAGGAGGACAGTCTTTTCATCTTTTAAAAGTTTCTAGGATGCTGGCCCCATTTTTACCCCAATATGTCTGTGGAATGGGCTGACTGAGAAATGTCCCACTTTTAGCACCCTATAGGATACAGCAATGTATTAGTAGTCCCTGTGGTGTCTGACATGTCTGAAATCATAAGATAACTCTGAAGTTCCTACGACCAGATCCAACTTGAAGTCCCAGTTTAATTTAAGAAACACTCCCATTACAAAAGGCATAGAGAATGCATCATATTGTGCATTTGTTGGTCTCTTCTAATGGCAGGTTGAGCAAAGATGTTATTGAATGGGCTGTGGTGATGGTTGCTGTGGACATAGGTCCTGTGCTGGTATAGGTGGACACTGTGAGATGTTCTCCTCTTCCCATCGCCATCAGTTATAGGTTACTGTCCCCAGAACTCTGCCAGCTTCTCTGAGTGCTTCCTAACCCACATCAAGCAAAACCTGGCGTGCTAGCACACACAGAAGTGTAAACCCTTTCATTGAATCTCATGGATTAAACAGTTAAGCAGAGTGTTGTTCCAGCAGAGTTGTGAAGAAAGTAACTTTCAGCAGAGCAGTTGTTACAAACACATGGGGTACAGTAACATCTGAAGTTGCTACAGCAATTTATTACTTAAAGTTACTCCTGTGCATATCCTGGAAACTTGAGGTTTAGCTAAAGAACAGGATAGTCTCTGCTGTGCTCCACCTCACCTGAGGGAGGTTGCTGTCCAGCTGAACCCAACCCAACTAGCATGCAGTTGGCATAGGTATCTCTACATTGCAAACAGACCTGAATTCATTGTGGTCATACCCTGAACTGTCCTCACTATGCTTCAGGATGGGCTCTCCACATTGTGCCCAGAGGACACGACATGCTGATTGATGCAAGCATGTGAAAGTTAGGGTCTAACAGGTGAGGTCCTCCACACTGCAGCTGGCTTGAGCTTTGCCCCGTTTAAACATGTCAGTTGTGTGCCAACAGCACACAAGAAGTTATGTTGTTAGCATTAAATCCGACAGCTACGTATTTACATTTGCATCTCCTGGAAAGTTGGCTGTTAATGTATACCTGAGCAAGACAAACTCATTTTCAGGTGTCTTGGTAGCTACCTACATTATGGGAAGAAAGAAGCTAGGGGAGAGAGGGATATTTGGCACAAATTTTCTCCTGTCTTTGCATCTAGCTTGCTATCTGTATGGATTATATGAATCTTTAAAATGATGCTATCTGTACTTTTCAGACCTTTAGAAAAAAGCAGATCTCAACGAATAAATGTAACAGTGACACATCTGTTTACGCAAGACTCAGCTGAGAACAGTAACTCAGTTTTTAAGGCAGTAGAAACAGCAATTAAAACATCAGGAAAGGATTTTAATATCTCTGAATACCAAGGTATGTAATTCCCTACTGTGGAAGTAAATAATCAGCAGAAACAGAAGTTCCTATCCTCAAACCTGAACGGAGCATTTCTGTGTGTAGAAAAGCCCATCAAAACATAAGCCTTGTTGGTTTTAAGAAAGTGAATATTCAATCCTGGGTAATTTGGAAGATTCAACCATTCGGTGCTAAACTCTTTTGTCTTATTAAGGCTTTCTACTTCCTGTGTAAAGATGAGAAGGAAAATATTTATTCCAAGTAAGCAAGGGCATGGTGATTTTACCCTGCTGAGTGTTAAGCAGTAAGAAAAATCAGGATTGAAGATATACAGATATATATTGTTCTTCTGAGAATATGCCACTCTATTTTACTGACAAAATAGGATGAACCTCTTTTTAGGCTTCTTCCATAATTAGCCATGGTAATTGAAACGAGGCCTCATTGATTAGCTGCTGAACTAAGTGATTCATTGATCTACACCGGTAAAGTCTTGTGTTACTAGAAGTGTAATACTTGGAGAATTGTTTTCTAAATAAAATATGGATTGGTTTTTTATCTCTTTTTTATATGATCCTATTTTGAAACCAGCTTTCTCAAGAGACATAGCTTACAGCCTGAGTTTGATCTCTGAAGGTGACTGTTTCCACCTCAGCCATGACATTTTCTGTGTCCTGGTCCTAAATATGAAGAGGAAATAGAAAAAAAACCTGAGAGCTTCCAAAGCACCAGTGCAATCATATCCCTCTACTGCATGCCACCCACTGAGGTTTCTAAACCATTGGCACCACTGGGACATGGATCTAAAGAGCAACATGCTGGGCAAACAGCATACTAATATTGCTTGTGAAATGAGCTGCATGCCCACAAATATTTATATCTATGTAGGACTGTATGGAGTCCGGGCCTCACAGCTCAGCTGTGCAAAATTCTAAGGGAATAGTGAGGAGTATTTTCTGTAGGGTTTTTTGTAAGGTGAGGCAGTTGTAGGAGGCTGAGAAACAGAAAGTCAGAAGATACGATGGAAATAGGACCTTAACTGGTAAAGAGCAAGGGAAAAGAAAGGCCTTGTCCAAAAACCTAGAGTATTGATGCTCCAAGGAAAGGACTTATAATTTTTTTCTCTTTAGAATTACTTAATAACTGGTTTATGCTTTATGAAGCAAGTGTACTGCTTTCTATGAAATATTATTAGTACTCAGGTTTGTTCTATGTTTCTCTTTTAAAGAGGCATCTTATTGTGCAGCTTTTCAATGCGATACTGAAACCACAACATGTCAAGAAGACATGTTTCCAGAATGCGCATGCAAAAGTGGTTTAAAAAAGACAAAATGGGATGATCGTTCTTGCTCAGGTAAGAACCTTGCTACTTTATCTATCCCTGAAAGTCTGACCTGCTTATTCCCCGTCTCAGCCCCTTTGTGAAAAAAGTGCTGTGCAAATGTGCTGACCTCTAAGTCAGGGAATGTGTGTCTTATTGAGAGACATAGAACCCATAGAAGAAGCCATTGAAGCCGTAGCAATATGTTCTCACATTTTACTTTGAAAACATCCATAATTATATTCCAATAGAATAAACTGCTAAAGCTTGATAAAATTGTCACTGAAACCAGTGAGTGGGCAATTCTTTCAATGCATTGTTAGACTCTTGGTAAGAACTGAAGCCTAAATAAGTAAAGGATGGGACAAACTAGATCCCATATTCACAACCTTCTCTGCTAGGGCATATTTTGGGAAAAAATTCTACATGCTACCGGAAGGCAGCTATGGGAACGCTTACAGAACTGAAAGTCTCATGATGCACTAAAATGACCTGTTAAAACTTTGTCCCTTGTTCATAGCTCTAGGTTTGCATTACGTGGATTTAGACAGGGTTTTTTTGTGGGACGAATGATTTATGCAATGTTTAGGAACTGTTAGTTGCTGGGGTTTTATTTGCTTGCTGGTTTTGAGTCTTTCAATGAATGTTCTGTTTATATTTTTAGTTATCCTCCAAAGCCCTGATATGTACCTTATTTTCTTCTTATGGAAACTAAAATTTTTGCACTACAGAAGGCAAAAAAATGGTCTAAGATATGAGACTTTAAGAAAAACAACAAGTATTTCAAACACTCACAATAAAATTATGAAAGCTGGCTACAGTAAAACCCAGGGAGGTGTGATCCAGTGTAGGCTTTTGTGGGCCCTAACTGGTCTTACTCTGATCAAGTTTTAGATCATTTGCAAAACAAATTATCTGCTGTGAGATCAAACTGCAGGTCTTTGCTCGCCTATGTAAGATGCAGCCTAGCCAGATTTCCATTTTGCTTAAGTTGAATGGTTTGAAACAAAGCCTGCTCATTTCTAATTGTGTGCTTTCATATTACAGTTTCCGCTCTACATGGGTAGTCCTAAAAAAGCCTTTCTGGTGCTTTGAAGCACAAGAGAGTTGTGTGTGTGAGAGCTGCCCAACAAAAAGAAAAAGAGTGGGGGGAATCTTCAGTGTTGATTTGAGCGGAGAACTGTCTTCAATTCATTCATTCTTTTTCCCCTTGAAAATACAGATTGCAGTGATGAGTGTTCTGCAGAAAACAAAAAGTACTGTGCAAAAGAAAAAGGGGTTCCAAAATGCAAATGTTTGCCTAACTTTGACGAGAAGGAAGGAAAATGTGTAGCGTGAGTACTCAGCTTTTTATTCTGTTCCTGTGTTCTAGGCAAAGATAGGGGAGAAGAACATCTAACACAGGGTCAGATGCAATCTAGAACAGGCTGCAGCTGTGTGAATCAGAGAGATGCCTACAGTGGTTAGCAGGTGGACATATCCCCATGGTGTCGCAAGTTATGGCATTTTTACTGCTTGGCATTAGTCTTATGTATACTCATAATACCTCAGAGGAAAGACAAGGAGACCCAAGGTCATCCATGAGTCACTAAAGAGGATAAACTGCTTCATTACATAAACACAAACTACTCCTTCAGAATGACTGACCCATGGGAACTCGTATGCTGAAGTGTTTAGTAAGCAGCAGGCATTAGAGCAAGACTTGCCTCAAATCCCTGGAGTGTTTCCACTGATATCAGTGGAGATTGTTTTCTGATAACTTTCAGACCTACATCATTTTATCTTGGTTTTATCTCAGAGGGGATTTCTGTCAGCTCAGGATCAGAACATACCAGTGATGTTTGCTGGTGAAGCCGAGTAAGTGACTGGTTGTGCTCTGCCCCAGTGGATAAGCAGAGGGACCATACTCCCCATATCCATTAATTCAGCTCTTTTTTTTAGTTATTGCTGCTGCACACTGAACACTTCTTACCACAAAGTAAATACAAAAAACTAAAATGGGAGGAAGATAAAGAACTGTCAGTTCCTATAGGCCTTATATTGAGGCTTTTGAAGGAGACAATGCATGGCAATTCCAAGTGGCTTAGAGGTGCAGAGCTTAGCTCTTTGGAGATATTAGGCCATTTTACCACTTTTTTTTCAGACAGAGAATCTGAAACTTTGAGTGCCCAGCTCACCAATCATTCTAAAGATCTCAGATTGTTTTACTCTAACAATGAAAGTAAAGAATTTGATATTAAGATAAAGAGGAAACCTTCCCTTTGCAGAGAAATTGCTGATGAAAGGTGGAAATATACTATTGTTTTGTGATCATAGAATCACAGAACAGTTTGGGTTAGAAGGGACCTTAAAGATAATCTGCTTAATGCCGTTATCTTTTCTTTCTTTCCCCTGTTTCTTTTTTCTCTGCTGTAGTTGTCCGGTGGGATTCTCTGGGGAGAGGTGCACTGACAGTAAGTACAAGAATTTCTGATTTTTAATTATAGCTTGGAAAAATACCTGGTAATGTTTAATCTGTCTGAGACAACTAAAATAACAAGGCCTTTTGGGGTGCCACCATTATGCATTTATAGCAGGAAAATGTTAGGGGGGAAAAAAAAGAGTGAAATTTCTGTTGCCTGGAAGAAAAAGATCCTTCCTGAAACTCATGTTCAGGCAGACAGTAGCATTTCCTCTAATGACCTCTGCACTAAACCCAGTAGTTTTTAGTCAAACACAGCTTATTTGACAGAAAAGCATTCAGTCCTCACTTTTAGACATGCAGTGCTTAACTCAGCACCACTCATGGAGTACTTTCTCTTGTAATCAATCACTCCCTCTATTAAAATGTCAGTGTATTACTTTCATTTGAAATGTTTCTGCTTTAATATCCAACCACTGGTTCTTGTTTGAGCTTTACCTTCCAAGTATCTAGTACTCTATGCCAGTGAAGAGATGATGGTCCTGACTGTTAACCCATCATTGTAATCATTTGGACAAGCTAAGCAGCTGGGCCTTCCAAAGCTTTTTCCCTTTTCTGAGACAGTTTTGCAGCTGTTTCCCATAGCTTCTCCAGTTTCCACCATAATGCAGATTAAGAGAGGACATTCTTCATGTCTTCCAGTGTTTGCATGTGCCTAAACTCAGAACATCTAGTACAGTCAGTAATGGTTCTTCACTTCTCACAACTCCTTTGGATTTATTTAAGCAAAAGGGACAGCCTTGTGTAGCCCTTTGGAGTCTCACACTGCCACATTCTTAAACTGACCCATGTCTGCAGCTATGAGATTTTCAATGGTTTTCCAGTTTTGCCTAAAATCTTTGGAATTTGACTAATAGTAGATGTAGTGCAGCACAGTGAATCTTGCCAGGTATAAAGGTTTGGCAGGCAGAATGTTTTTCATCACATGGGACATTGTTTTCTAGAAAAAAATTTTGCGAATTTTAAGGCCTTTCTTCATAAAGCAAGTTAAAATGCAAAATAGAGACAAAATCAGCATATTGTGAATTTAAACACAAATCTGGGACCCATTAGTAATAAACTCCATATAGTCCTGTCTTCTCCATTTGGCACTTGGTGGGTACTGTTGTAAAAGGTTTGCTGAGCAGTAGCTAAGGATGTTTTACACATCTTTAGCATGGCATTCTTTTGAGAAATCAATCCTTACCAAACATTTTTTTCAGATGTGGGATATTTATGCAGTGTTCATAGACACCTCAAATCAGTGTGCCTTATGTGCCTAGGGCATAGGAAGAGCTTGTTCGATATCTAACTAAATTTTTTAGCAGCAATACTAGCTTAAGCAACCCATATACCCTCACAGTTGTTCCTGTCCCTCAGCAATAACTATAACTATGCTGTGCATGGGATTAGGAACTTGAGCTGGGATCAAAATAGCCATCCAGAAGAGATGGTCTTTAATTCAGATCAGTTCCTTAATTTGCATCTTTCTGTGTCCACGGACAGTTGTAAGCACCAGGAGCCTGGGAACGAATAACACCTTTCATATTTTCCCTCCTTCCTGCATGCCTTTCTTCTTCCTTCCTTTCTTCCTGGGACAGGACTTATTTTTCAGTATTTACCATGAGTTTTCAATTCAGCAACTGATGTTTCTTGTTTGTTGTGTTTTGTTTTTTTCCCCAGATACTGAACTCATCCTTATAATAGTGGGTACAGTGTTTGGAGCCATTATCCTGAGTTTAGTGATAGCAGTCTCTGTTCTTGCAGTAAGGTAAGAGTATTCCTTACAGTTGAATAGAAGCTGCATTGCTGCATGTTCATAGAGAGCTAAGCAGAAATTTAGAAAGGGGCAGGGCTGCAAATGTTGTTGCATGCCTGGTTGGGCAAACACGTTCATCTAAGCCATATAGCTATTAGAATATGGTTTTGCATATGTGCTCTTCCCAGAAGTATTTATTATCTTGCTGTGAACTCAACTATGCAAGCTTCAGTCAAGTCTTCAAAATACACACCTGATCCATTGATCTTAGTCCTGGCTCAAATTCAGACCCTCTGCAGCTTTCCATGCTACCATTTCAGCTCAGTGCCTGGCATGCCCCTTTCACTTCAATACAGGTGGCATTTTCAGCCAAGAATCTCTTTAAATATTGCTATTCCTGGTGTACTGGCAAATTTCTGATTGAAGTTGCACCTCCTGACCTCTCTCCACACAACAATACTCAAGCAGCAACTCTGTCTTTGCTCTCAGTGCTACCCAAGTAAAGATGTCTGCAGGAGTGTCCACAGCAGACACAACTTGCCAGCAGGTAGCCAAGCTGGAGCCAAATGTGTATGTGGTGTAAGGACTTGTGACCACAGACAATCCAAATGCATCAAATGAGCATGCAGCTTTTACTGCAGGCACAAGGGCCACTTTTCTTAACTTGTTCTAATGACTGTCTCATTTTTCCCTCTGAATAATCAGTTAGAGCTAGTGGTGGTTAAAGGAAACTCCTTTACTCTAGAAACTAGTTGAAAGAGGCCAAAGTCCCCCTCTGTCTCTCCGAGCAACTTTGACCCATCTGTGATAAAGGATGCCAAACTTTGTACTCTATCATTGATAACAGTTTTCCAGTAAGTGTGCAATAAAAATCTGTTGCATGTTTCACAACAGGACTGAGTATTCAAAATAAGGTGGGAGTTGACAACTCAGTAAGTTGGACTTAATAAGTAAGACACACTAAAACCTCCTTTGTTCTTTCATTTCCTCTGAAGAGTCAAAGACAAACAACATCCAGAGAAGAAGAGCCTGATAAAGCCTGAATATCTCAGCTCAAGTATCTCTGATGATAGACCGAGCATGATGTTTCCCAGAGTCCAGACCACTTCTGGCCATGCAAACCCAGGATATCAGCCAAACAACCCATATGATAGGCATTCCACAAATAGAGGTCATTTTTCAGGGAGGAATTATGATGATTTGGTAAGTGTTTGGTAGCTGTAGCTGCAGCTGAAAAATGTTTGCCTTAATACAGAGATCAACACTCATCTTCTAAAGACCTTTCTAAAGGCTCAGTATTATCCTTGACTCACAGGAGGGATATGTGAAAAGCAAGGGTCAAAGCAATGGCTTGGTTGTCCAGTGGTCTGCTGTGTCCTAGGACGTGTCTGCTTTGACCAAACACATCCCTCAGCACAGGTGCACCTGTAAGCATCACAGGCTGTTAGCACCTTTGCTTCTTTTAAGCCAGCTGCAGAGTCAGCAGATGTTGCAGTGATACTTCCCAGCAGCAGCCTCATGCAAGATTCACAGATAGCTGAATCTCAGACAGCTGCCCAGAGGGTCCATATCCTCCCACTTGTGCTGCCACTGCCTCATTCCCAGTAAGAGCCAATGCAGATGCTGCAGCATTGCAAAGGTTTGAGTGTGAAGTGCCATGAAGAATCTAGCACAGCATTAGCACTGCTATAGCCCATGGGAGCCTAGTCAGCAGAGGTGTGTTATTAACTAGAGGGCATGTTCTAAATAAAAATGCTTGTTTTATCCTTGAAGTCTGCAAGGGAACTGTGGAGGAAGCAGGGGCTTGAGAAGTGCTGTGTGATATGACTGATTTGCTGGGTTCGACATGCATTGAGTAAATAAGAAGCACATTGTACATTTAAATCTCATTTAAATGACATTTTTAGCTCCACCTCTGTGGTGCAAGGAATTACCCCTGTATAGTGAAGAAAATCTGTTTAATTTTAATACATTTACGTGTTTTGCAGAATTGAGGTCTAACCCGTGACAGAAGCAACTGAGAAATCTGATGTTTAAAAAAGCACCCAGCTTTTAAAAAGCTGCCAATTAAGAGAAGAAAAACACCTATTTAGTTAGTTGATTGATAAGATTCACATGGATTTAGGCATTTCTAACTTTTCAGAGATGTCTACCTTTCACTGATTCAAATCTGCTTGTTTGGTTTTCCTTGAGGGTTGGTGTATCCTGGAGACAGGGCTATCAAATGTAGTGTGCTACACGCTGAACTCTTTTGAGAAAAGAGCTTTCTGACCCAGAGCTACTCTTTATTTCTCTTTTCTTGTCTAAATTCTCTGTAGTACGAACCATCACGGGAGCCTGATGGCTTTAGGATGCAGAGAAGATATTAAGTGACCAGAGCAGTAGAAAGATGAATGACTATCGCAACGCTGTGTCAGGCCAAAGAGTTTCACAGCTTCTCACCAATGCAATTACTTCAGCAGAAGAAACTACAGACCTTAACCCCAGATTCTCTCAAGATTATCTAAAGGAAGACCTCTGCTTGAAAGAGATCACGGACAACTCTGAAATAAGGGGAAAATGTAACAGAGGATAGAGGAAAAAAAAGAGGACTGCTTTTAAAAGAGCTGAAGGACTTCAATAAACATTAGACTTCTTTCAGGAGGCAAGAGAGTGAGCGTAGACAAGCTACTAGAATTTTAACCATGCTGTTTTTCAGTTCTTCTGGAAGATGGTCCAGGCAATGTGCGATGTTGAAAAATATCAGCACCCAGAACTTTGTGTTTGTGCTCACTCAATTTCAGCTATGGCTTTGAGCAGATCAAAACTGCTTTTCATAAGAACCTAACCTGTTTCACTTTACTAGATCACATACATTCTTTTCACCCTCCTCAACCCCCCCAGTATTTCCTATCTGAAATCAATCTCTTCTCTGCTGACACGTGTGAGACAATGACACTTGTCTGACCTTTTCACAGCCTTCCTTCCCAATAAAATGGCAAGAAACCATATCTTCAAACAAACACTATTGTTCTCCATCTTGCAGAACTATATTGATTTTACATTCTCAGCTCCCATTGAAAGTGTTAGCATTTTTATTTCTCTTGTATTCTTTATGCTTGAATGATTGGTGTTTGGGTTTGGGTTTTTTAAAATTTCTTAAATACAGTCAATAAATCTGTCTGTAAAAGAATCCATGTTTTGCCATATTTTATTGAGTTCATATTGATTAGCATTAACATTTCCTTATATGTAAAATATCTGTGTGCACACATATGTATATATATTTATAGGTTGCATTCATTTAGGGCATCACTGAATTCTCTTATAATTTATGGTTTGGTTTTTATATATGCAGATTATTTTTTCCTATTAAACATTATTTTTTCTCAGTACCAAGGCTTGTTTATGTTGCCCCTTGTCACGTGGTGTTTTGGTTTTTTACAGCCCCAGAGACTATTTTATGCAAAAATTTCTGCAGAGTTCAGGCACAAGTGTGCACAGACTGGTTACATCAGCACTCAGCTTTCGCTCGGAGGTTCTGGTTAGAAATGCTATTAAATCTTGATGAAGCTAAAATATTGATTGTTGTGAGGCTCACATAAATTTTCAGTGGTTGCATTCAGTGGAAATTGGGCACTTAGTGCTGCTGGGTGTCCTTTGAAAATACTGGGCAAACTGCTCTCTCTGATGACAGTTAATGGCACAACTGAAAAAAGAAGTGTCCATCAGCTTAAATGACAAGTTTGGGGGTCAGTGGTAGAGAACACTGTATGTGCTTGTAGAGGTTACCAGGCTGTCCATGCAGATGCATGTTTCCAGTGCTCTCCATCATCAAAATCAGCTCCCACTCACCAGTTATGCAGTTGAAAATTGGGAACTAAACAGTCCTGCTCTTTCTCATGTGGCTTCTCTAGCAAAAGAAGATAGATCCTGCTTTCTCAGAAGTAGCCTGGAGAGAAAAGCTGCCATTTTTTCTGGGTTTTCACCGTTTCTTTCTTCCAGTTGACTTCTGTTCCCTTTGCTGCTGTCAGCTGGCTGTGCAGTGTCTGCAATTGGCAGGGTCTGTAGGAGACCAAGTTCTGGTGGCCTTAGCCAATCCCCACCATCTGTGTGCATCTCAGCATGCTTAAGGTGACTCCATGTGAGCAGGGCCAGCTGGATTTATCTAGTCATGATACCTTATTCAAAGGATGGCGGAGATTTGGTCTTATTTTCTTGACTTTTCCTCTGAGAGCACTCACCTGCAAGGAGTAAAGCAAGGCATGGTGGCTACACGTACCACAAGAGGAAGAGTCCCCATCCTTCCTCCAGCTAGAAGAGCCCTGCCAGGGGGCCCAGCTCCCTCTCCAAACAGTTTAAGGTATGCTCCCCCCATGTCTGCTGCCCTCTTCTTTTTCTTTGAGCCCCATGTGCCTCCACCTTCACCCGGGTGAAGGAGATGCTCTTGGCTTCTGATCCCTCCATGCAGTCCTGTTCTTTTCCCCTTTTCTCTGATTTTTCAGCAGCAGGAAAAGGTTCTGCTGTCAGTAGCACTCCATTAACTCCATGCAAACTCCATTCTGGGGAGCTTGCATGGAGTGAGACACCGGAAAATGGATGGGATATGGGCAGAAACAGGCAAAAAGTTCATTACTTCATTCAGCTGTCTGCTTTTGCTGGGCTATCCCCTCCTCCCCTTCTTTGTATGGCAGACTGAAACTTGGGGTTACATGGAGTTGAATAAAAAGATTTCTCTGTATCAAGAGTGACAGACCACCAGAATGATCATAGTGGTCTTTCACTGAGGTAAATTATCTGTTCTATCTGCTTAGTGCAGAGGATCCTTAAAATACATGTAACAGGAGCCTGCTACAGAGGCACCTGAAAAGGCTTTTAAGTGTTATCTCCTTTTGCAAAGCAATAGAGATTGGAAATGCTGCTGAAAGCTCAACAGCAATCGAAACTTTAATGCAGTAAAACTTTATTGAGGGTGTGATATCCAGACATTTACTGTCATTGATAATAAAAGCAGCAAAAATAGCCGGGTGTTTGCATATTTGATTGCAGAGGCATTTTCATTGCGTTAATTATAAACCAATTTCTGCAATGCAACCAGTTCTCATTTAATCTGTGCTGGGGTGCAGCTATCAGATACCACTGTGAGCTGCTACTATTTAGCATTTCAAAAGCTGCAACAGTTACTTTATCTGGACTGGAATTCTGTACTGAAAGGGCAAACTCTCAGGTATTTCACTTCTGTTTGGCTATTAGCAATGTGTGATTCTGCTGGGAAAGGTGATCATGGAAAATAGTTCTTTGTGGTGTTTTATAACTGCTGCCACTTGGCTCATGCTTTGTTTCAGCTGCTCATCCTTCAAAATCCAGCTGGGCATGGGAAAGGGAGCTGAGTGCGACCCTCACCCATCAGTGTGAGCGAGGACATGCCTGCAGGCAGGCTGAGAGGCTCCAGGGAACTGCCACAACTCGGTTTGGGTTCTCCCATCCATTTTCTCCCCTGAGATGCAGGGTGTCCTGTTGACACACGACCCACAGATGAGGTGGGAAGCTGATGCCACTCAAGTCTGCCACCTACTTTTATCCTAGACCAAATATTACTCTGGAGAGTGTAATTGCTTGGCATGTCTGCACAGGGTGTGCTAAAGTGTGCTAAGGGAGTTGGGGCAGAGGTTTTCCCAGTTATAACATGTACTTGTATGGAAGTACTAGGATAGCTTTGGTCATATCCCATTTGCCTTTTATCTGGACACACCTAACCATATTCAAGCAGTGTGGGGTGGGAGGGGAGGGTTATGGAGCTGGGGATGGTCATGGGGTGAGAATCTGGGTCTGGGCAACTATCTTAGAGGAGCTGTGCCCAGGAATGTGATAGGATGGTGGGGTAAGGATGGGTGGGGGAATCAGGCCTGCTAATTTAGCACTGCTTAAACTTGAAGCCACCCTCAAAACTAAAACCTAAATCTCTCCATCTACACAATCCCCAGCAAAGCCCAGCATCCAGACACATATGAAAGGCAGCACCTTTCAGGCCTGGAAGTAGGAAGCATTTTGCATTTTTCTGGTTGGCTGTTGATGAAAACCACCCCTTGATTCCTTTATGAGACTGTTACAGAGATCCTGTATGTGTCATGCCAGGCTAGAGGCATAAATACGTAAGAGATAAGACAGGACTGCAGATGAAGAGGCTTGACTTTTCACTTCTTGTGTACTTTGAGTTTGACGACTTGTTGTTTTCAAGGCAAACAATAGCATACCTTCCAACAGGAGGGACAGGGATAAGGGAAAAGGAGCCTCTCCTCTAGCAAGAAGTCTTCACCTCCTTGATAGGAATGGCTTCCCCAACAAAACACCCCAGGATGGAGAGAGTTTAGGGAAACTCAGGTGAGGGCCGAAGGGATCCAGGCAAGCGTCCTGGTGAACATGACTGTCCGTCCCTAGCTGGTTTTGGGGAGACCACCTCAGCTTCATCCCAGGCTCAGGAGGGTGACTGACCCTTGGTACAACCCAGTGACAGAGGATTCTGCTTGAAATTTGGGGTTCTGATAGCCAAGGGCCACAAATCACAGCAAGGCAAGTGAGGCAACACTAGCATTGCCTCATCTGCCACTTCTGTGAGAGAACTGTCATTTGTTAAGTTTGGCAAGTGCAGTGTCATCAGTCGCTATGTTCTCCCAATTACCCACCCTTCACCCATTTATTTTTAGCCCAGTAATGCTCTCTGTTTCAAAGCCTTGTATCTGGTGTTTGTGGGTGGAGCAGCTTTGCTTACTAATGGTTCCCAGAAGGATTACATTGACCTCTTCCAGGTTTTGGTGTGTGAGCTGAAGATACTGATTTTTACAGTAACTAGTCAAAAAAATTCCCAAACCCAACCCTAAATGCATGAAGTAGTCTACCAACAGGGAAACCCATAAAACATGTCAGGTCACAATTAAACAGGAAATAAACAGGGCTAAAAATAAGAATCTGTAAATTGCCTTGCAAAGGGTGCTCTAACTGCTGATTAATGCAATTTAAATATATAAAAGTCACAAAGGCAGATAGGAAATTGATGGGAATGCTGACAACAAAAGTATAAAGGGTGCAGATGGATGTAGCAAAGGTCAGTGATTTCTTTGTGACTGCTTTGGCAGCTGAAGTTGCTGGGGAGCTTCCCACATCTGCCAGTCTGCAGTAGATCAGCCAGAGCAATTGGAAGGAGAAAGGTAACACAGAGTAAAGACCTAGCAGGAGTAAAGGAAAGTCAGTGAAGTAACTAGGTAACAGGAGAGATAAGGTCAAATAGACAAAGTGGTCGTTAATAAGTGACCAGGGCCAGGCATCCAGGGGACCCAAAGGAGTGGCACAGCTCAGTGGTGAAGGTGCAAGAGGCTGCAGTACCCAGCTATGT